TCGTCAATTAAATCGGTTACCCTTTCAATTCCCATTTTTTTAAACAGATTAAATCGCACATTTAATAAAATTGACCGTTTTTAAAGCTCATCTTTTTTTATTGATCCTCTTTACTTTCTTACTGTTAACTGATGCAATCCTGAATTATTTTATATTACATTTATAATTCATTCTTTGTGCAGCAATCATCTCTTTGTATCACGATTTTCCAGCTTATCGGATACAAAAGTCGAATAAAATACGTTACGATATTGCCATTCTCTAAATAAATTAATAATATATTATACCTATATTTAACATGAAAAAGTATTTTGAATATTTTAATAATGATAAAACATTATTTTATCAATGCACTATGTATTTTCTTCTTATTCGCTTTCTCAATATGATTGTTTTACTTTTTCCTTTAATTGATTTATTCAGTATATTTTTAAGAAAAAAATCATTGAAAATATAACAATTATTCTCCAGCGTGTATTTCCGAAATAAAATAGAAACTAGATATAAGCAATTAATATTTTTCATTTAAACTTTTAATTATAATTTTGAATGATATAACATTAAATCACAATTTCAATTATTTTAATTCGCGCTTCTTTAATGCATTATTATTCTGAATTATGACCTATTCCATTTCCTCGCGTCAGTAAAGATCGAACGCATATATGTAATGGAGGGAAAAAGTCGCGATAGAGTCAGGCGTCAGCTTGCCTGATAAAAAAAAGGATGTGAAGAGCGGGACAGTCCGGGTTATGCTCGCTCGATTGTTCAACTTAATCGCCGTCAATCCAATATTGTAGATGGGAATAGGCACGATGGGGTTCTCGCATGGCCGTCGACGATGCGGACTTTTGATTTGAAGAACTCTAATTCACGCACGAGGTTCTCGAACGAGACGTAATCTCGTTTATGGACGTATTATCAGATCAATGTCCGATTGTGCCTGTGCCGAAGGGTAAACGACAAGCTACTCTTCAAACTGCTTGACTATATTCCTCAATTAAAAGCGAGGGACCTTCTGGAATCTCGATTATAACCCGTTGATAGAGTAGCTTATCGAAGACTCCTGAGAATTCCCCCTTCGTCGATACTATTACAACTTGAATGTATTGTTATGAGAAATATGATGGTATTTTTCTTCAAATCGAATCTTTTTTTTAATAATTTTTAAATGAAATTCTAGAATTTATGGTTTTGTCAGATGATAAAGTAGATTTTAATAGGTATATGTTTGTTCCTATAGTAATTTAAAAATTCGATATCTTGTATTTTTGCAAAATATTTTTAAATTGATTTGAAAATTATTAGAATTCAGAATCCAATCAAGTACGAAATTAGATTCAATTAGCAGTTATAAAATTATTGCGGTAATCTTTATGGATATTATATTTATCATAATTTTGTAATCACGTTGAAGATTTTCAATCTATTTAGCATTCTTGAAAAATATAATAAAAAATAACGTGATTACTGATTTATTGGGAAAAAGAAGGTGAGAGAAATTTATTTAAAAAAATATATATTATAATTTTTTGAAATATTTATTTTTTTTTTTACTTTTGAGACTTTTTTCATTTTACTTTTTCATTCTAATCACGTTTCTGAAATGATTATCACTGAAATATAAGAAATTGCACGGTCGAATTGCGAATTGAAAGATGATTTTGAAAATTCTGTTGGAGGAAAACATCAGCCCGATTTTATCGAACGTCTGATGCGAGCGAAAAGATTCGTAAGTTGGAAGTTAGAAAGCTGACAATTCCGTGACAATATAACAAGTGCTTTTGTTCGAGCGATAAACTAGAACAGGATTGTGCCAAATCGTGGCAGATATTACTGTAGCTCGCTACCTTTGTGATCGAAAGACTGCGAAAGGATGTTCCTACACAATTGCGACTTTCACACAGCGATATATAAAGTAATACTCCTACGAAAAGACAGTCTTTCCTCCGATATTTCGGAAGACCCTTGTCAAGACGACGAGGATCCTCCGGAATATCTCGTCCATGACTGGAAATTCTTGCCAAATTCTGTAGAAATTAGCAGACACGAGTGTCAGTCTCTCAAGTACTTGACAAACTAATTATATGATAAATCTTTCGGATTCGAACGTCTTTTCTCTCAAAGATCTTTACAGTACGACTAAATCTGTTTCCTCCCTGGAGAAAAGCATCGAAATGGAAGACGTGTCTCGTATGAAATGCTTTGGAACGAGACTTTATCTACATCTACTGGGTCAGTTATTTATGGAAGCTTTTTAATCGGGTCATTTGTAACATTCATGAAAATCGACTTAGCTTGCTTATTCGTCAACGATAATGTGATGAGCCATTTTTTTCTGTGAGATATAATACGTTTTCGTTTTTCTCATCGTCATAAAACGAAAATGGGATACATCAATACTTTCCTTATATTCTGTATTTTCGCTTCAAACTTAAAAACAAATTTAATTAATCGGATAACGGTCCAGTTTCTTTTATTATTATCGCTTTAACGGAATAGAAAAATTCATGTTTATCGAGGATTAAACGATCTCAATTACGGTGGTCTCGAGATAGACCTGTGCTTCCACGTTCAATCTGCGCGTCATAGCTTTACACGATCAAAATACGGGGTCTCCAGAAGGAGGATTATCCCTCAGTTCGATGCACGAGCGATGACACGGCCGACGGTCGGTTTACGATCCACCGATGAGCATTCTCTGTGCAAAGGAACGTCAGTGAAAACGGGCGTGAAGAGAGCGTGAAGGATCGACGAGTACATCCACCCTCTTTCAGGGTTGCGTCTGACGTTGATGACGGCCTTGAAGAGCCTAAACGCTCAGCTAATCACGTAATGGCGCGTGATACGAAACGCGACGTGTCCCCAACCCTGGAAAAATGTATACGACCGTCATCCTCTTGCGGAAGGCGAAATTTTCAACACGATGTCCCTTTTTATCCCTCGACATCCTCGAAAGACGAAATTGATTTCCGGCGCGCAATTCTGTACGTGCCAAAATCTCAAGTACATTATGTGAAACTTCTGTAATGGAGACATCGTTTACTGTCACGTTGAAATTCCAATTACATTAGCCCCGCGGTATTCGTGTTGGTTTCTATCGCGCGAATGCCAATTTAAATGCTGGAATTTTTATAGAATGACTCGTGTCACTTGTAATCCCGAAGAGAGAACTCTTTTTTTTTAGATACTCTGAAATATCGTTAAACAGGGATACATTTGGTATATTAAATTTTGCTGAATTATTAAAAAGTATAAGGTTCAGAATTAAAGTTGTGTGAAAAAAATGTCTAAGCAACTTTTCATCAAGCGACAATCCATTAAAAAAAACCAAGAATGACACATTGAATATATATCCCATTTATCTTTAATAATGTAAGAAATGTTTTAATTTGTCTGAAAAAACATGTTTTAAGTTATTTAGATAGATTTCATGAAAATTTTTAAATAATATTTATAAAAATAATGATAAAATTATATTAATATTTGTGTGTGCTTTATTATATGATGAAAAGTGCAAATTCGCTTGACCTGGAAAGTGCATAAAATATGTTTCTGTAAAGTTGTGTTCTATATATATTACATGTAACAGTTTTCAAAACTTCACTTGTGTTTCTTGTTTACGAGCTTGCCCGTATGATGAGTTACGTATTAATAGTGAAGACATGCGTGTATTTCATGTAAAACCGGGTAAATGAGAAAATTTATTTGCTGAAAAGTAAGAAATAATTGTGATTTTCTTTTTAAAAGTTATAGCCATCATTCTGTCTTACATTTAGATATAAAATATAATTTCTAATTAAGTTTGTAACATATAAATAATAGATAACTCGGATATATTTTATTATTATATTTCATGTAATCCCCGCGAAATTAATTTTTGTGATTAATTAACTAATTAGAGTAAATGCCAGCTCATTTATTTTCAACGATATTGGAGTATCATTTATCAGAATAATTATCTTAATTGACTCAAAAAATTATTAGAGCCAGAAAACCAAAAATACTTTTCATACAATTCCTATCACATTTCATCTTTTCTGTCTATCATGAAGAGATAAAATATTACAGTATCAGGTATAAAGTAACGAGCACGCCATGTGATCGATAATATGTGAAACAAGTGAAAAGTATATAAAAATATTTTAATAATTATAGACGTTACCCTAGCGCTAAGAAACTATATCGGAATAAAGTCATTTTTAATGTTTTACTAATACAAAGATTATAAATCTACAGTTAATAATTTATTGCATAATCTACTTTAATATATGTATGAATAAAATTTGCAAATTACGCGTTTCAAAGGGACACACATATTTTTGTACATTTGTAAAATAAAAAGGAGATAAAATATATTACCATATATTTTCAGTAATATAATAATATACGCTCATTCAATGAGAAGTATGATTTATCGGGATACTTTAATTGGCTTATAGGATTGCCAGGTTCAGAAAATTTCAATCCTCCTACAATTATTATTATAATTATTATTATATTTCTTATTATTTATTTTATTATTATTATTATTTATTTATTATTATATTTATTATTATATATATTTATTATATTTTTTATTATTTATTTTTTTATTATTATTATTTATTATTATATTATTACATTTATTATTATTTATTATAATAATTATTATTTTTATTATTATTATTTATTATAATTATTATTATATTTGTTTATATATTACAAATAGATCGCTTATATATATAATATTTAATTGAATTATTGTTCGATAACAATATAATTTAATTAGAAACTCTAGGAGAAAGAAAAAATATATAAGAGAAAGTTTAAATACTTTTTCTCGTGAGGTTAATGTAACGAAGAGAGTTATTAGAATTTCAAAAACCGTTTAGAATTTATAATATACGATCTCCCACATTAACGAGAACACGTTATATTTTCGCGCAAGATACGATCGTTCGCTCGTTTTTGAAGCGAGCGAGTCATAAAGGGCTCGCGACGTTTTAACGACGGCTTACCTTATGAACATGTATACGCCCGTGGGTTCCAATGCCCTGGAGACCGCTTTCCAGCTTGCGATAACCGTAAATTTTTGCCTGGCTGTGAGCGGAAGTCGCGGATCTGTGGCGGCCGGCGGCGGTGGCGAAGAGCCATCGTTTCCGGTCTGATTGCGCGATTTCGTGGTGGCCAGTTTGCTCAGTTCGCAACCCATGTTGAGGCTACAAGTCTCGAACGCGACTTCCTGTGCCGCGAAAGACACTAACCGACCCGGCCAAGCCGTAACGTGGGAGACGATCACCACTTTTCCCCGCGAAATCCGTAAATTGCGCGATGACAGTTAGATTCCGCTTCCGCTTCCTGCCACTTCCTCAGTCTAAGTTTACAACACATCGGAGGATCCGGAAGATCGCACTGCACTACGTTAAGACGGACGATACGAAATACCATCGGCGACGAAGAAACTTTAGTTTTTTGTCGAATCGCAGATCGGCAGTAAAAAGATGCTTTGGATAAAGAACGCGTGTTATTTTTAAGTTCTCTGGGCGTAATCTTTACATTGCTCTCTACTCTCCTGAACACAGTGCACGTGGTCGAACTTGAAAAATCCTCGTGTTTTTGTTGGAGTCTATTGTCTTTTTTTTTTATTAAATCGTCGAGTGATACGAGGCAACCGCTGAAAGCGAATGATCGAAGAAACTTGCCATTCACTTCGAACACTTGGTGGCCGGTGAGGAAGATTCGTATCCATGTATTACTTCAGCGTACGATCTTGATGAGGAGCACGTGCGCTTTTTAGAGCGAGTCGGCCGCTTCTAAGTTGGTCGTCTGTGAACGATCGCCATCGCTGACAGCGCGAAAATAAGCAGAGCAAGCTTCGTGGAAGCTTTCCCTCTTCATACGAATCTTATTATGTGCCTGATATATTCTTGACGTGTATACATTTATCCTTTCTTGTAATTAAGGACGCACGATGATTCCAAGACGCGCATTAATTCACCCCCACATCTCTATTCCCTCATCCCTCACTCGAGCGTCCCCCGTCTTCTCGCGGTCACCCATCGCTTAAACTTCGCGTGTTCCCTCTCCTTCTCACTCTCAGGTTGCTGCTTTTCTTCTTCACACCAAGTTTTCCGCTCTGTGAGTTCATCTATCTAACCTTTTCTCCTCCATTTCTCCTTCAACATCAATTCTCACCACTCGGCGTGCCAAATTTTCCCTTTTTCAAGATCTCTGCACTTTATCGCGCGTTTTTGCTCCTAAATCTTCCGCTATCGATTTCCCCGCTTTTATCACTAGAGCTTTATGTATCAGTTCATGGTCGTCTTATTTCCTCCAAGGATATCTGTAATTGCTTTCCTCCAGCAATTTCATCCAATTTTCTTTACCCACGTCTCGTCTTTTCCCTTCTTTTGCACGTTTTGTGTCCAACGTACAAGCTCATCTTCTCGTTTCACTAGGATCTGTTTTCCTGCTGTTGAATCTTTTTTATTATTTATTTCATACTTATCGGGCTTTTATATCACATATTTTATTCATTCCCAATCTCGTCCTTTTCTCCTTTTTTCTCTTTTACTTTTTTCTCTCATTCGTTCTTCTCTTAATGAGACTTATTGTATATATTTTCACTAAGTGTGCAAATTATATCCTTTCATTATTTTATAATAAATTCACTTTTCTCCTTCTCAGAAGTTCATTAGATTCATTAACTCTTCAATGTAACAGTCTTCATGTATCTGCCATTCATTTTCATCACTGATTGTCCCTCGAATTATTCGAGATTTTTACTAATAAGCGTACAGTTCGCTTCATTTGCTTCACTGGTCCAGTCGATGATTATGCAAACAGTCACAACCTCCTTAAGTATCTTCATGTTCCTCGATTTCCGGGATATTAACTAGAAGCATACACGATTGCAATGATACCTTTCATATTGCGGAAGGATTGATCGATCTCATTTACGACGAACACATTAATCCGACAGCGAGTGACAGATCGAAAGGAAGCCAAAGACATACCAGACGATCTAGGATGTCGGAAGAACCGACATTCAATATATAGCGTGACAAATGAAACTCCAGGCCGTCACTTCGTCGAACGAATCTCTTAAATACGAGGAATGCTTTTCTAATCAAAGAATTGAAAAAAGCTCGGAAGAGAAAAATCTATTGCGAGTTTTGCGCTCGATAATGCATCGTTATCATCGATCTCTCTCAATTATGATAAATCTTTAGAAAATTAATATAAATAAAAAGGAACAAGAAATATAATAAATCTTATAATTTGATTTCACTCATTTCTTTAATATATCAGAGTGCGATAAATTCTTTTTGAAAATGATATATATTTAATAGTTGAAGAACAATGTCACATTTTTTTAAAGTGATTAATCAAACGATAATATTTTTAATCGAGAAAAGGAATTCGTATATTTAATAATGCACGAATTCTATGTACAATTTTATTTAAAATACTATCCGATGTTGCCGTCTCATCTTTCTCGTGCAAGAAATTAACGCTTTCTCATTATCCGGCATCAGTTTAGTCCAGTCACAAAGACTTTCCAACTTAGTTCGACAACATTGAACGACGTGACGCTTCAATTAACGTAATGGCGGTATCAAATTGGATTCAGTTCGGGGCAAAGGGATGAACGAGACATCTTGGCCGACAAATCTTAGCCAAGTCGGACGTGAAGGGCCGTTCGTCGAGCGGAAGAAACGAAAGAATCAGGAGCGGCGAGGCGGAATTCCGGCGACATTGATGGAGGAGTTTCGAGGGATGTAGAGGGTGGTAACCAAACTCATCTGTGTCATCGCCCTCCGTTCGATTCTCGTCGGAAAAGCGCGTCAAAGAAACGGATAAAACGAACGACAAGAGAATGTATACAGGGGCGAGAGCTCGACGATAAGTGGATGAAAGTGTCATAAAGCAACCGGGTGTAATCGGAAAGGGGTGAGTCTCCTGTTCCTTCTGTTCCATTGGGACTGTTCCTCGCTAACTTTACGTTCGAGCTACTTTATGCTCGTCTCTGTAGGAAACGCTGGACGTACATATCTCAACGTTGATAAGCATCGCCGTTAAAGTTGAGCGGAAGTAAGAAGCGCAGCGCGGATAACTTGAATGGCTTTTGAAGTTTCCGATGCAAAAAGCGTAAATGCATCTCGCTAAAGCGAACGTCCGTCGCAGAAGCGAGGGGATGCCACGGTAACGTCGGCTCTTAATGCTCGACCTTTACAGCCGTATGTCACTTAAAAGATATGGAATACTTAATTTTTCACGTAGAAAAGTTTCTATGCGCCCCTGCTAAAGTATTAAAATGTAAGTATTCACGATATGATTTTGTTGATCGGCGAAGAAAATGTCTCTGTCTTCATTTTTATTTGATTTTAATATCTGTTTTGATATCTTGATGATTATTCTTATGAATATTGGATAAAAAAGAATAAATGCAGTTTGCTTATTCGACTATTATAAATATTTTTGCAAATATTTCTTAAATTAATTATTATATATACTTGTATATTTTATTTAAAAAAACCGCGTTTGTGTGTTTTACGAAAAAATATCCCTTACAAGCTGACGTGGAATTTGATTTAATTTCGATAGATTAAATATTGCCATATAGTTTAATATTGCGTTTATTTCAGCGTCAATATGAGATGAGAATTAGGCAGCAATAAATGTGTGATGAAAGTATGAATCTTTGCGTTTGTAATCGTGCTTGAAAGAGATTTTAATCTTATATTCTTATATCAGATAAATATCAGATAAAAAAGAATTAATAAATGCACTTTGTTTATTCGACTATCATAAATATTTTTGCAAATATTTCTTAAATTAATTATTATATATACTTGTATACTTTATTTAAAAAAAAATCCGCGTTTTTATGAAAAAAATATCCCTTACAAGCTGACGTGGAATTTGATCTAATTTCGATAGATTAAATATTGCCATATGGTTTGATATTGCGTTTATTTCAGCGTCAATATGAGATGAGAATCAGACAGCAATAAATGTGTGATGAAAGTATGAATCTTTGCGTTTATAATCGTGCTTGAAAGAGATTTTAATCTTATATTCTTATAAATATCAGATAAAAAAGAACTAATAAATGCACTTTGCTTATTCGACTATCATAAATATTTTTGCAAATATTTCTTAAATTAATTATTATATATACTTGTATACTTTATTAAAAAAAAAATCCGCGTTTGTGTGTTTAACGAAAAAAATTTCCCTTACAAGCTGACGTGAAATTTGATCTAATTTCGATAGATTAAATATTGCCATATGGTTTGATATTGCATTTATTTTAGCGTCAATATGAGATGACAATCAGACAGCAATAAATGTATGATGAAAGTATGAATCTTTGCGTTTGTCATCGTGCTTGAAAGCGATTGGAATGATCGAACGCAATCGAATGATACGCAATTTATCTACAAATGTTATATCACTGTTACTTTAGGAAACGCGATGGAACGCGATAAAGAGACTGACATGTTATGGCGATAAGCTATCGAGCATTATCACTGGATTTTAGAATCAAATGCATCATCAAATGAGACTCGTGGGAATTATAGCTTGCGGGCTGAATCAAATCCAAAATTGAACCATTAACGCTTGATAATGTTTCGCTCTACTGTAATGCATCTCATAATTCATGTTCTGCATCTAACAATTCTTTTCTTTACATTTTGAAAAGCTCGCGTTCTCGAATATTTGATAAATTTATAAAATTTTGCTCATCTCTGAAATTATTATCCAAAATTATTTAAAATATTTAGATCGTGTATAATCTTTATCTTGAAGAGATTAAATGAGTTTTTGAAGCACAGCGTCACTTTTTAAACATTTAGCGCCCTAGTTTCCTGATCTCTTTATCCATGGATTCTTTGCTAATAAGAATCGATCTCATTGATTAATAGGAAATCGGTATTACTTTGCTCAACATCATCCGTTTCTTTGCGATTTTTTAACATCAAGTTAGATAAAAGAGAAATTGTCTCTCTTACTATCTCTGTCTCTATCCATCTCGATCCTTCTAAACCATTTTACGAAGCTTTTTATGATTTAAAAAAAGTTATCGATATCGAAAAAAAGTGACCTAAATATTAATCAAAGAATCTATACACGAGAATACGTTTTACATCAATTATTTCGCGTTAATGCAAGATAAATATAATAGCATATTTTTTAAATCAATTTTGTGTAAATCATATTTTTAAAATCAATTTCTAATCATGATTGGTATCAATATTTACATATGCTCCAAGTTAATTAGTCGCAATAAATTTAGGAAAAATATCGCGGCGATTTCGCCAACGATGCATCGTTTACGCGAACGTGAAAACTAGGGGTCGATTCCGGCAGCCTCAACACATTTATGGAGAATCGAGGGAAGAACAAACAAACGCGCCGCTATCGAAAGATAAACGGCTCACGGAGCAAAATCCACTTCGCCCGCGTGCTGCAAATTTCCGTCACGCGTGTCCCGACAACGGATGTGACGTACCAGCAGCACGTTGTCGTGATATATCACCGAACTCGCGTCTCTCGATCAATTTCCTCCCGTCGTGGACAAAATTATCCACGACATTTCCGTTTCGTCGGGGATCGCCCAAGCAATTTGCGGAACAGCCGGATTAAGAGAGAGAGAGATAAAGAGAAAAAGAAAGAGAGGGAGATTCGCCCTTGCTCTCCTAATGGCTCAATCTACTCGTGACGAGAGTCCTACATGAATCATGGAAAATTGAGCGATCGAGAATCATTGGTTTTCCTCGTCGCTTCCGCTTCACTCGCGTGTCACCACGGATCGATTACGCGCGTCTCGTTCACGTTTTTCGAGATCCTCTCGACTCGCGGGGGGGCGGAAAAGTCTTCCTCTTCCTTCCGGCGCGTCCTCGATACCCCGCGTTCGATCGTTCGCCTCGATTCCGCCGCGTCACGCGCGACGATGACGACTCGTCATCGTCGTCGTTCGCGCGGAAACGCGCGCGTACGAGGCCAGGGGTTCACGCGTCCTCTCGATCCGCGTCGCGGATGCGTGCGCGCGTTTTCTATCTTTAGAATATCTCCCGGGGCTCCCCGGCCGGATACTTGGCGCGGTGCTTCGGCGTCGGCCGTGTTGCCTACTGCCCAGGCGAGCCGAAACTGAGGCATCCATAACAAGCAGGCGGCGAGGATGCGGCGCATGCGCGCTCGCATCCCGCGCGCGCCGCCGACGCGTCCCGCTCCTGCGCGCCCTCTCTCGTTTGGTTTCCCTCTCTCTCTCTCTCTCTCTCTCTCTCTCTCTCTCTCTCGGTTCCTCCTCGCGCGAACAATTAATCGGCCACTTTTCATTTTTTCCTCTCGCATCTTACCTGGCAGGTGAGTAGAGACTTTTTCGAGATCTCGAGTTAATGGACCTCAAAACAATCGCCTTTTCAAATATTTACTTCTCTCGCAGCTTTTACAAACGTTTTGCAAATGCTTTTAATCTAACCGATCAGCGGAAAAGTAACGTCTTAACTTTTTTTTCATTACCGTTTTATCGAGTCCAATTTATAAAACTTTTCGAAGAAATAACTTTTTAATTGTTTTGACTGTAATTCTGAAAGATCCCGGTGGAAGTATAAGCTCGGCAGAGAAGTTAAAGGAAACATGTATCTCTCCGATAACCTTAATTTTGAATAAAATTATCCCACGAGGAGCTTTGAAGAGCTTAGTGACCTAAAGTTTAAATTTTATTAGTTTCTATGTAGATCCACTCCTGCGACTGTCCACTCCTATTATATGAGGTTGTTCAAATATTATTGCAGAAATTGCGAGTTGAAAATATATATCCGCGGCACTTGACTCAAATTCGTGACCTTATTCGCGGAATCGCAAGAGAATAAGCGTAGAAATCGTTGTTGTATGTTTGTAGCTTTCAATTTTGAATTTGCAAAATGTAAATTTAAACTTTGGCATATAAATGTAATAGTAACGGCAAGTTTTTCACACGTGATATGTAATCTTTTATTTACAAAACGCTCGCGTATAATTTTCCAAAATTGCGCGAATATTTACTGCGCGACAATTTGAAAAATATAACGCGATGTGCTCCGCCTCTAATATTTAGAGTGGCGAGAATTAATCTCTTTTTGAAACAAATGCACGGTGAATGAGTGTTGTGGGAGTTCGAGCATGAATAAATGTTGCCGCTTTTAAGCACTCCAAGTACTCTCAGTTCAACAATTTTATTGTCCCTGATTCTCTCTAAGCTCACTATAGTCCACTTGTCCAATATTCACGTATTTTCATGAAATCTCATAAGTTTAAGCTTAACCCATACTTTGGCATATATATTGCAAGAGTATAATATTCATATCTTCCTTTATATTCATATCTTCCTCCGTCTCTCTTTGTCTTTCATATATGCACAAATATTAATCAGTTGACGTACATGTGATACATTCAAGTGTCACGAGAGAAAATGATTTGCATACATTAAATGCAAGCACTGACATAACTATTACATTTGATAGTTTAGGGATATTAGTCAACTTTATAATCTTGCTTTATACATGACAGGATTATGTCATGGAAGTTCTTGCGAGTTCCTAATAGACTTGTCATAATCGCAGATTGTTATTCTAGATCAACAAGGATTAATTGGCGTGAATTAATATTCAAGATAACATATAATTCTACAGTTGACAATTTTATCTTTTACATTGCTTTTATTTAGAAATTAAAGTGTGATTGAATTTTAATTATAATTAATTTCGTACCTGTTTCTTGTAATATATTAAATAGCCGATGTATCTCTTTTTTTTAAAGAAATACGTTTTCAAGAATAAAAATTATCGTCACGATATTTTTACTCTGATTTCAGAAATATCAGTTTTCGAATAGGCACAAGACCTTCGAGAATTCTCCTTCCTCATCAAAAGGGAGCTTACACAATCTGAACGAAATTGCAACCTAGTTGCCCTAGTCAAGTTTGACCTTTCAGAAAGCGTTTGGGAATCACGAGAGCGTACGAAGAACAAATTTTCCTCTGACACGTTCTCCCTAGTAACTCATCATCGGTAAGTAGAAACTTTCGTCTGTCTGCAAATTACCTGCTAGAAAAAAAAAGAGTTACACTACCTGCCGGATACTGCAAATGAATCTCGAATTATAAACCGGCGCACAAAGTTGTTTGAAATTTCAAGCCTGTCGGGGTCGTTTACAAGGTAACCTTATCGACCTGAATCCATCAGTTTGAATGAAACTTTGTTCGCATAGAAGGTGATATCAGATATGAATACATTTCGTTTTCACTCGTAATCTATTAGGGGGAAGTTTACATATGAGTTAGATAAATTTTGGCTTTTTATTACGAGGCTATTAAAAAAAAATCATTTGTATAATGTTTGTTATTATTTGAAAAAGGAATCATTTTATTCATGTTACACTTAAATTGTCATTATGCTTAATCATTCATTAAATGTATGATGTATCAATATCTCATTTCCAAAAAAGATTTATTATTCCTTCTTTTTTTGATATAATTTTTAAACGAATTATAAAAAAATTTATTTTTGAATTTAATAAATTTATTAAATTATATAAGATAATAGATAACGCGTTAAAATATAAATTTAATTAAGAAAAATAATTCCGTTGTTCTATTTTATATTAATTTTGCCTATTTTATATTATTTTTCGTATTTATATTTTTATATTATATTTATATTATATTTAAATATATTATATTTTATATTATATTATATTTTTATATTATATTTAAATATATTTACATTCCAATTTCTATTAAATTTAAATTATCAAATTTGCATTTATATATACACCTATGTAAACATCTCAAGTGAAACAAGATAAATTATTAAATGTCGCATGAATATGTCGTATCTTTCAACGTTTAGCTTCCGTTACCGAGGATTACTGTTGAGCCCTTGAATTTAATCTCAAGCTAGAAGGGTCAAACAAAGAAGGGAAGGAACTTATGCGTGAGGCAGACTTCCAATCAGGGACTCGCGTTAACCCATCCAAAAGCCACAAGGTTCCGTTGCCCCCACACGCTTCCTCTTAAAGTCAGTTTGTCACGAAGTGCGCGTTTGAATCGACGTGCCTCGATAGTCTTTTCGGTAAATTGGTTTGATATAACAAAATATTTATAACGTAAACGAATTTATAACGTAATGAATTTATAACGTCTATAAAAACAAAAAAAAAACATTTTCAACATCAACACTTTATGAAACACACATTACACTACATTAAACGTACATATCGGCGTTATTATTTTTCATAATATTTTGCTTAATTTCGCACAATTTATTTTACATATTCGTAGTGCATTTAATTTCGTTGGCGTTATTTCTATCGCGATGATATAAATTTATTGCGTCATGTTGATTTAAAGTTTGTTGCAAACGATTTTGTGTGCAAAATATACGAGCTATATTTCCGTGAAAAGCGTGGGCAAGCTATATTTTGTGTTAGAATAATCGAATGTGAGAGTCCTTGAATGTTATAAAATAGCACGGATTGTGGAAATTTTTTCGAGTGTTGGTAAGTCCATTGTTCATAATAAATTTTCTCTCTCAAAAAATAATCCTACTTTATTATAAGGAATAATAAAATAAGAGAGAGCATTAATACGGAATACATTTTCCATAATTTGTTTTTACGAGTGACATTGGATGTAATTTAAATTTCTAAAAAATGTTATTAAAAATTTTTCATCACGGAATATATATTTGTATGCGCATGCTGTTACATTAATATGAATTCTATCTCTCTATTCCCGTATATCATTTATTTTTATAGCTTATCGTTACGACATGCGACAAATTTTTAATATTTTTATATGCTAATTGAATATCCATTATAATTTTGTGTTGACTTGTCATGAGATACATTTTCCGTGTGTGTTTGCGGTATCAAAAATTAAAATTATAATTCAAGTAATTTGAATTTAGTCTTGTGTTTACGATAAATTTTAATATTAATTTTAATGTAAACAGTGATCAAGAGTTATTTTTATATTTAGATATTACATTAAGATAATATACATTAAGATATACATTAAGATAATAAATAAGATTGTTAAATTAATTGGTTAATTATTAATACAATCTTATAATCTAATAAGTTTCTCTTTCGGATTTTGATTATTTTATTATTTTCTTATTCTTGTATCATTTTTTTCAGTAGTTCGTTCTTTTGATAATAAAATTGAATTCGTTTGCTATTCACACGCCGTAAATATCGATCGAATATTGCAACAGTCGGTTTTGACGCAAATTTGAATGCACTCTGTTTCACCACGGAAACGGAACGCATCCTGCAAGAAGACGAGTATCTGGATAAATCATCTCTCGGAATATTTCTAGCTTTCTCTTTTTCCATCGCGAGTTTGCGCCATTTCGCATTTCTCTATTCAGTAAAAGAATGAAAAATTGCTCATTTTCATAATTGACCGCGACATTTCGCTGAACTATAAAGAACACATGAATTTTTTATTTTAAAAATTTATAGCAAATGAATCATACTTTCATATAATACTTTTGTTTTTACATCGCAATTATACTCGGGATGTTGCGCGTAAATTTTTTAACAGGAACTGTAAAAAAATGGAAATTATATAGAAATTATGATTTTGAAATATTAAAAAAAAAATTACAATATTAAAACTAATTTGAAAAATTGAATTAAATGTTTCTACATCTTCGTCGCAACGAATTATAAATGGGAATTTTATTAATTAAAATAGCAATAATAATCCTACTGAAAGACTGAAATAAGAGATCTTAAATTGAATAGAGATTAAATTAAATAATTTAATATCCTTCGTGCAATAAATTATGTAATATAATATTTATTTATATAGTGTGAGCTTAAAACAAATGACATGGTACTTAAAAATTATTTCTTTTGAAGTATCTCTCAAATTCAGAAGAGCAAATTTATCGAGAAGCGTATTACAGTTTCTTTCACAGTATTACACATTAAAGTACTCTGTTAACCTATTTTATAATGATTACTGCAAAGTGATTCTAAGGAAGTTCTGTTTTTCGAGAACGCGATTCGTTAAGAACGTTAAGAAAATGAGCGTTATAAAATTACAGAATCTCTCGATCTTCAGTAATGGCTAAAAAATTTCCT